TTTGGTAAAAAAAAAAAAAAAGGAATGGAATTTCATTGTCCACAAATAAAGTTGTGTGGGTCACACAGCCATCCTCGTTCATTTTTGTTGTTTATATTATCACATGGTAGCTGCTTTTGTCTGGCAGGATTGAATATTGTCACATGGACCCTATGGCCCACACAGCCTAAGATTTATTCTATCTCCTTCCAGAATGTTTCATTCTCTAACTGCCCCTGGTTTAAGGTAAAAGGTAGAATTACCTTATTTGCATAATTACCCTGTAATGGACTAAATATTTGTCCTTCAAAATTCATCCAGTTGAAAGCCAAATGCCATGATCTTGTAGGTGGGGCCTTTGGAAGGTTATGAAGTTTAGATAAAGTCCTAAGGGTGGGGCCCCATGATGGGATCAGTGTTTTTGTAAAAGGAGGAAGAGAGATCAGGGTTCTTTCTTTTTACTACCATTAAGAGGACACAGCAAGAGGGTGGCCTTCTGCAATATAGGAAGAGGACCCTTCTCAGGAAACAAATCTGCTGGAAACTTCATCTTGGATTTCTCAGGCTTGAGAATAGTGATAAGTAAATGTTTCCTGTTTAAGTCATCCAGTCTGTGAATATTTTTGTTATAGCAGCCTGAGCGGACTAACACAGAAAAACTGAGTAAGCAAATATAGATGGGTCTCCAACTTAGGATGGATGGTTTAATTTATAACTTGTTTTACTTTATGGTGATATGAAAACTATAAACTTTAAATTTTGAGTTTTGATCTTTTCTCAGACTAGCTACATGTGGTATGACAGTGTTGTAATAGTGGGCAGTGAACCTTAGCTCCACATCAGCCTTGTGATCACAAACAACTGATGCTCTACAGTGTGCTGGGTTGCTAAGCTATGAGGTTTGGTAGCTGATGTGTATGAAATGCTTTTTGGGGGCTTGTAATATTTTTTAACTTATCACGAGTTTATCAGGATGCACCCCCATTGTAAGCTGAGGAATAGCTATTTACCAAAATAGGGGTTCTCTCTGGGTGCTTATGTTACCTGCAATTTTTTCATCAAGTATGTTATGAGTACAGTATTTTTCAAAGACTATTCATGGCAAGTAAAGTCGTAAATATTTTCCCTGTCTTACTGTGGGCTGGTTACTATTAGTAGTTGGCGTGGTCCATTTCCCCTGGTCCCCATTTCACACCTGCATAGGTTTTTCTATATCTGTCTTCTATAGGTGAGGAAAGGAAGACTCCAGAGAATTTATGTAACCTGCTTCAGGTCACTCTGCTCCTTAAGAAATAACAGGGAACAGGCTGAAAATTAGCTGTAGAAGGGTGTTTATTTGAGTTCATGGGAGAACTCAAATGGGTAATAAGCCATCATCCATGATGTCTTTGAGAACCAGATTCTCAGCCCAGAGAAAGGAGGCACAAATGTAAGAAGGTGTGATGGTTTGGATATGTGATGTTCCCCCAAAACTCATGTGTGAGACACTGCAGGAATGTTCAGAGATGAAATGATTAGATTATGAGAGATTGATCTAATCAGTGAATTAAGCCACTAATAGATTAATAATTTTAACCTACTATCCTGGGGATAACTGCAGGTAGGCAGAGTGTGGCTTGAGGAAGTGGATCACGGGGGCATGCTTCTGGTGTTTTATATCTGGTTGCTTCTTCTCTTTCTCTGCTTCCCGGCTGCCTGAGCTGAGCAGATTCCTCTGCCACACCCTTCTGCCATGATGTTCTGCTCACTCAAGCCCAGAGCAATGGAATCAGATGACCATGGACTGAACCTCTGAATTTTCAAGCCAAAGTCAACTTTTTTCCACTAAGTTGTTCTTGCCAGGTATTTTTGTCACCGTGACAAAAGGCTGATTAACACAGAAGAGGTTAAATAAAATGCCCTTTTGTTCTAAATTTAAATCAAAAGCATAATATGAACTCCTGATGAACTTTTGTTACAAACAATAGTAATATATTTTCTACTTAGCTCCACCCACTCAAAAAGGCCTATTAATGATGAACAACCCAGGAACAATGCGCACTCCTGTGTCCAGATTGTGGTTCCTAAAATCATTTCCCACCAAGAGGAGTCCTTAGAGAAATGACTTCTTCCAGGTCTAGGGCAGAGCCTGGAACATCTTAGTTTCTTAGCTATTTAGATGACATCAAAGACGATGAGGGTCATAGTAGCCGAAGCCAACTGGCCAGAGATGGGAGAATCCAAGCATTAATAAAAAAAAATTACAAAGAAAAGAGATGAAAACACATCCAATAGGCTTAAATTCATGATTTGCAAAGATACTAAAAGCAGAACAAAAAACTCTGATTGGTAACAAGGCAGAAGATAATACATTACTCATTGTGTTGAAAACTAGCAGATAAATGGAAAGACTCAAACATTTCTCCATCACAGAGCTTGGGGCCTGGTATAGAGAGGAGGTGCTTAAAAAATACTAACCACAGTGCAGTGTATTATATGCACTGCACTCCTAGTTAATGAAGTAGTTGAGAAAAGTTTTTTTTTTCCCCTGAAAGCATTTCACCTAAAAGGTGAAGAAAGAAGGATACATATGAGAACACCCCCATTTTGTAACCCCTAATTAATTAATGGATCAAAGCAATAAACATCGGTAGCCACTAAAGACACAAAAAGAGACAGCCAGACATTCTTGTGCTCCTGAGGAGAGAACACTACACAATCCATAGAGTGATTTTGTCCATAAAAATCAAACCTTAATCTGATTTAATATCTAAAGCAAGCAACAGATTTATAGGAAATAACAGACGATAGAAGAACATGTTCTATAGCACCATCAGGCTGTGGTCAGAAAAATCCACACTGTGAAAATCTAGGACAAAGGGTCCAATTCCTTCATAAATACATTGCATAGCGGCAGAGGGAGGGAAAGAGATAAAGGGACTTCATAGATTAAAGAAAAATTAAATGTTGATCTACTGCAATGTATGAATTCTGATTTTAAAGAAAGATTTTTTTTAAAAAAAAGGTGTTTATGGGACTACTGTTAAGTCCAAATACTTACCTGATGTTTGGTGATATCAAGAGATTATTGCTCACTTGTTAAACTGTGATTTGGGAATTGAGATAATATTAACACCAAAGGGTCAGTGTCCAGGGGAAAAAGTAGCTAAGTGTGGCGATCCATCACATCTTGATGAGACTTGAGGCTGAATAAAGGCCCATAAGGGTTTGTGGTTCTGCTCTTTCTACTCTCCCATCTGTCTAAAAGGTTTCCAAAATAAAATAAGAAAATAATAAAATAAAAAATTAAGGTAAATCCTTCCTCATGTCATGGCCAGAGTGATGACACTGGCTGGGGATATCATGGTTCCGACCAGTATCCCCCATCCTATGATTCACGAATAATGGAGAGTTGAGCCTCGTGTTTTAGATCATCCATGTCAAGAACCCCATGGAACCTCTCCATCACCCTCCTTACTGGGCCATGCCAATATGGCGCTTGGGATCATATACACAGAAGTCTACAAAAATATATCAGAAATAAAAAAGAGTGCTCTTGACTCAAATATTTTGCCTCAGAGCTTCAAAGGGCACAGGGGACTCATGATTTCATAGAGACAGAGAATCACATCTGCCCCGCACAGGCATTTGACGGTGAGAACAGGGATGGTATGATGGTCAGGTCGGCGGGTGTTTCCATCTGAAGTCCTGGGCCAATGACCAGGGACACTGGTTGTGTCTTCGTGTCGTTACTTGTATGGGTGCCACAAGACTGAGTTTCCTAAACCAGATAACCATGTCTGCAGGAGAGCAAGCCACCCCAATTCCCTCTGGGGACCCCACAGGTGAGAGAAATGAGTGGCGTCAAGGAAACAGCCAACGGTCGAGCCCTGTCTCTGGGGCAGGAAGTGAGAAACGGAGCTGATAGGTATCTTTAGAAATGGCACCTTCCAGCCTTCAAGGTTAAGCCAGCTGTTGAGGTGGCTTTGGTGGTTTCTGTTTCTTCCGCCAGCCCCACCCAAATCTGCCAGCATCCTAGGTGTGCCCTGCAAGCTGGGAGTCCCTCCTGTGGGCTTGCTTTAGAAACCCTGTTCACCCCTCTGGGCCCCTTCTTGCACTGTTCAAACTGCCTGTTTACTGGTCTTCTGCCTCATTAGCCCATGATCTTGTTGAGGACCGGGGCTTTGGTCTGTTTCTCCTGTTGTCTCATCACAGAGCTTGGGGCCTGCTGTAGAGAGGTGCTCAAAAAAACACGAACCGCAGAGTTGGAAACCACCAGGGAAGCCGTGCAGCGTGGTGGTTTTGGAGTGTGAACGTCACAGCTAGACAGACGTGGGCCCTGTCGGCTCACGACGCCACCTTACTCATGCCGCATTATGGTTTGCAGATTCTACAACTGACCTATTCCAAGACTTCAGATCTTATAAAACACTTTGAGATTTTCCTGGAAAAGATAAACATGTACAGACAGTCCCCAACGGATGGTGTTGTGAGTTGGGATTTTTTTTTTTTTTGACTTTACAATAGTGCATAAATGATCGGCATTCAGCAGAAGCTGTACTTGGAATTTGGACCTCTTCCCGGGTTAGATACGCAGTACAATCCTCTCTGGAGACAATGGGCAGTGGCAGCGGGCCACAGCTCCCAGTCAGCCATGGGCTTAGGAGAGGAAGAAAGCCAATGCTCTGTGATGTATTGTGTACGCTGAGCTCTGATAGGCTGTATTGAATGCAATTTTCAACTTACGATATTTTAATTTGGGAGGGGTTTTACCAGGACGTAACCTCACCCATTGTAGGCTGAGGAACATCTGCCACTGTGTATTTCTGTCTGTGTAATAACATAATTCATCTCGGAAAACAATTTTGGAATTTTGTTGTGCACCTATCTGGAATGGATTCTGTTGAGGGACTTACAAACAACAAAACTTCCCCATTCTCACTACCCGCAATGCCATGGACTTGTGTTCAAAGTGCCTAGTGGTGAGGTGGACCACAGAACAGAACACCTTAGAGCACAACCATCGGTGTCGACTAGCAAACCTGGGCATCTTCAAAGGTGTATCTCCCTCCATCCTTGACATTTTGGCTGGTTATCTCATAGCTGTGAGAATCCAGGTTGATTGCACTGGGGGCTCCTGGAGCCAGAAACTCTTGCCAGATTTCTTCCACCCTCTTGGCCACATCCTGTAGCGGTTGTTTCTTGAGATCTTGGACAGCCAGCCAGAACCTGGAGGGAAAGCAGAAATAATAGTCAGTTCCAACCAGACCCTGATGGAGACAGTCTCAGAGCTGATGTTGCATGAAACTCATTCTGTTGCATCTCCCAGCCGGCCCTGATGCCACCACATGGGTCACAAGGACCATGGTTGGGTTCAACTAGCGGCATCAAAATGAGGAAAAGATCACAGTAGCAGGCAGAATCCTGAAATCATACATAACACCTGGGCTGGAGTGAGCCAGCCATTTGTGTTAGAGATGGAGAAATTAAGCAGTTCACACCAGCGTTCAATATGGTGCTTGGCATACAGTAGGTACTCAATACAGAACTTTTAGATTGAAGAGGGGCTCATCTGGAACAAAGCAGAAGAGGCATACATGGGCGACCTCTCTGCCAAAGATTCTCCAAGGAGTGCCAAAGAGAACACTCTCCTACTCACTTCCATTTGCCTCTCCATAATCCCTCAGCAGGGCAGGGGAGTTGCGTTGGCAGTGCTGCGGGTGAGCTCATTTCTGCTGAGAGCAGCAGCAACCAGCGCCAACTCCTGAGCAGCAGCTCCCAGGTCCCAAGGACGGTTCCCAAGGCAGCCGCTCAGTAGGACCCAGTGCCGAGCAGCACACTCTTTGCTCTGCGAAGGGGACAGGCCAGTTTCCCCAGCAATGAGATAGGAGGACAGGACCTGTGCTCTGTGAGTTCCGCAGTCACGGGAATATCACCCGTAATCCAGTCAATGAAAGGGGAGGACAAAAAAGCTGAACTACCACATGATGGAAAGTGCATTCAATCTGTCATCGAATTTCATCCAAAGTAAGATGTACTTTTTTTTTTAAAAAAAAGGTTAAACATATTTTTCTGTTATTCAGAGAAATGGCTTAGGAGTCAAGTGTGTGGCCCAAAGGCGCCACTCAGTGGCATATTGGGGTAATGCAGCCTCATTTCCACAAGGGCAGGGGTGTGTGTATGCCCTGGGAATGCTGGGCTCCAGCTCTTGTCCTGATTTGCCATTTAGGATTTGAATGATCTCCTTAAAAGAAAACCCTCATGGTTCCCTCATGGATCCTGAAGTTGCAGGAGAAAGGCAGGGAGGGAGATAGCCTCTCAACCAGCAAAACAGGAAGCACAGGTCCGTTATTCAGGTTATACTTCTGTCTTGAATTGTTATACCTTTCCAGGTATCTCTTTTCTTATCTGTGAAACGGGTACAAGGTGGGTGGTAGGAAATGTGGCACAGAAAAACTTTCTAGGTAGACTTAACTGTGAAATGCTTTCAGGCTCCCCCGGGGTGGGGGGCACAGGAGAGGGTGGGAGCGGCTGCCACAGGCTCAACACTGCCCCTTTTGACCCTTGGCATTTCCACTTGGGTGGCCTGCTTAGCTTTCCAGGCTGTTGTCCATGCAATCTATTGTCACCTGTCCTTCAACACTAGCTCTCCTTTCTGCCACTGGTTCTTGGTGCCACTGGTCCTCTGGCTCCCAGAGGAGAGGAGAACAATAGTTCTCTTACCCAGAGTCCGGAGGGCTTTGCAAGGAGTGTTAACCTGCCCATTGCTCAGGTGGGTCTCTGGAACTCCTCCATCTCTCTTCCACTTCTCAGGCCCATCCTGGGGCTTCCTCAGGGCTCTCCGTCCACCTCTCAGGTCTGCCAGGAGGTGAGGGACAGCCGGGATACCTGGAGGTGAATATGATCGTCTGGCCACAAAGGCCCTAAGAGGTTTTCTCTGACTGGCCGGTGAGCAATGCTGGAAGCCCTGAGCTCAAGAAGAAGGCCCAGGGTTAGCTTTTCAAAGGACTGGGAGGAGGGTCACAGGCAACTCACTGAAGACGGAGGCAGGGAGGCCTCCAGCACAGCCTGGAGCAGGGGAGAGCCAGTCCCCTCCCGGAGCCCCTCCAGGATGAATCCTAGCTGCACACCGCTCCCTGGGTCAGCGTCCCTCCCTCCCCTTCTGTTCTGCAGTTTCTCAGACAAATGGATGACACAGGGTGATTTTCTGCCTCCTCCATCAATGTCATGTGGGATGTCTCCTTCTGTCACCTCTGTCCCTTGCTGCAGTCTGCTGCGAGGAAGAGCAATGGAGCCCTGCTGGAAGGGCCCTGAGGACCCCAGCAGCTTGAGTCCCACAGACTCCCTCTAGTTCCTGAGGCCTCGGGGTCCCCTGTGCAGAATTCTGTGGGAGCCACATCAATGCCATCCACTCAGCTGGGTATAAGGAAGGTCTGGAGCTGATGTCATGGCAAATGTCAGACTCAAATTTAATCAACTTTATATATATATATATATATATATATAAAGGTTCCCTCCATCAGAGAGGACCATGAATTTTAAAAAAAAGCACAAGAAGAAACAACAGACTGTTCAGAGGAGCGAGGGGTGGGGGAGGAGAGGGGGTAAAGAGAAGGGGAGGGATAGGGCACAGGGGTGACATCCCGAGGCAGCAGTTTTCTCTGCCTGCATACACAGGGACACAGCCCAGCCTTCTGTCTGCCTTGGAGATGACCTGCCTTGTCCCTCCCAGGTGACAGAGAAAATGCTGTCGCAACAGCATCCTGACATCCCGTATGTGTTTACCGTCATGGCTTCGAAGAACCTTTGTGGCAATTTGAAATTCAGAACAGGCTTTGGTTTGTGTTTGCCATCTTCCCACCCCACAGCTCCCCGCTCAGGCCACACGTCCCCCCCACCTCCCGGCAAAGAGCCACAAAAGCTTCTCTCTGCACATCCACCCCGCGGAAGGGAGGCCCATTGAGGCTTGCGAAGCGGCGGCTCTTATCAAAAGCCTGCAGGTACCGCTCCTCCCAGGACGCAGCAGGGAGTCAAATGCCAGCAGCAGCCTCAAATCCACCCATCCTTCACTAAGCCCCCCGCGGCTGCCAGCAGAGGGGCCGTCATGACTGGCAGGCCACAAGGGCTCCAGGGTATCAGGGAGACCACCTGTCCTGCTTCGCCCCCTCGGGTCCCTGCCAGTCGCCAGAGCAGCGGGAAGCCATCCGTGTGCAGGCATTCAGTCCACGGCAATGGCTTAGAAATGAACGCAGCAGGCGGGGGAGAGGGGACAGCCTTGGGGGAGAGGCAGCCGGGCTCAGAAACCACTGGGACGAAGCCGCGCAGTGCACGGATGGGACAGTCCAGGGGCTGCCTCAGGTGGCCTCCTTTCTCCCTAGCTGCGGGCAAGGAGCGGGATCTTCTCCCGGAGGCTGGCTGGGGCGAGAGGGACCACGAGCGGTTGATCCCTTTCCTTCCTGCCAGGCGGTCTGGCAGCCCACAGTTTCCAGCTTCCTTATCTTTTTACAAACTAGAATTTTCATGTGTTGGAAAACGCAGCTTGGGGTTAGTTCCCAGAGAAAAGCAAACTCCGCGGCAGATGGAAGTGTTTCTGTGCCCTCTGCTGGTCAACCAGGGACTCAGACCCATGGATGAAACTTCAGCTCAGTTCCTTGGCTGGGGTGAGATCCTGGGGTGCCCACATGGGCAACCCCATCACCAGGCTGAGCTGTGCTCACTGGGCACTGACTGGGCCGCTGCAGAGGTCACGGTGCTGTGAGAGTCATTTGGTTCTGACTTATGCATTTGGTTAGTGGGGGATCCCGCTGGCCCTAGTGAACCTTCTGAGGTCTTCCTAGGACTTGGGGTAACGGCCGCAGACGGCTCTCGAGACAAACCTGGCAGCCCCCCGTGCTCTCTTTTAATTGCTTCTCCCTTCAGCCGACATGGTGTGGAACTAGGATCATCAATCTGCAGGTTAGAAGAACAACCACGCTCTCTCAGGAGACGTTACAGCTCATAAAAAATGTACCGGGGACGCTCTTTGCTGCAGGTTTTGATTTTTTAACTCATGCCTCGCCAAAGCAGCAAGAGGTGTCAAATCAGGGAGGACAAAAAAATTGTGTCAGGGATATAGAATGGGGCTGGGACAGGTGACAAGGAGCCCCCCATTCTAGAATCTAGAGAAGGAGTAGGTCATCCACTCAGTGGCGCTCCCTAGCTCCCCTCTTCAGGGATTTGAGGACCTTGCCTGGTGGGTGGGAAGCGACACACAGTCCAAAGGCACTTAGGTGACAGCTGTCTCCAGGGGACCACCCTATGCACATGGAGTTGTGTACTCAGCTCAGGGTGGGTTAGCAAAGGAGAAAAAGCGGCAGTCCCCGCCACAGATGGCCACAGCAAAATGTGCTCTGGCCATGTCCTCTCTCCTGTCATCTGGAGATGACAGCTCATCTCATAGACTTGTCCAGAAGAAAATGATCAGAGGGACTTTCCATCACATCACGCCTTCCTTAAAAGATCAGGTGACACTTTGGGGCTCCTTTGTTCCTCATTCTGAAATTCTGATACAAATTCAACACTTGGCTACTAAACTGGCCCTCCAAGTGCAGTGTCAGTGTTAGGATCTAAGCGCATCTTCTGCTGAGAGATGTAAGTGAGCCCAGGAAGATGGAGGTGGAGAGGGGACTTTGTTTGTGATGGGACCAGCTGGGTCTGGTCAGTCCCTCTGTTTCCTTGCCTGCTCAGATGCCAGGAACCTGGCTCTTGACCAGTCCTGGGGAGAAGGGAAACCCCCAGCACAGCCCACACAAAGGATGGGCAGTATCTCCAAGTTGCGTTACCCACGCAAGGGGTAAAACGTGGTCAGCTCTGAATCTTTGGGTCCTAAGTCATGGGAGGTGCTAAGACAGCATCCGTGGTTGAAGGAATGAACACGGAAGGAAGGAGAAGAAAACTGCTTTGTGACAAGTGACTAGAGGGTCCTAAGGTTGTGTGATTTAAAACTGAGCTTTCCTCTCTGTATCCAATTATGCTGAATATCATAAAAAAGGAATTTGGGCCACCAGAGAGGATTTTGGAGCTCTTGGGCTATACTTTTTCTCTCTGCTCTTCTATTTTCCTTATCCTCTTTCCTGCCGTGGATCAGAGGCGACCCTCTTTAAGTCTGGATTTATGCATGCATGCTGGGGGCCAGCAGAATCCCACATGCACACGCACATTCTTTCACCCAAGATTAAATGTAGCCCTCCTGGCATGGAGGAGGGAGCACAGAGGCACAAGTGGTGATGGCTGGAGGAAGCCATAAACCCCTGCCAGGGGCACACTCCTGGTGCACGCGGGGCCCTGAGTGTCCTGCATATTTGGTGAAACTCTCCTGATTTGATTCATGGCCCTGGCTCTACTTTGGCTTTTCAGTATGAATGCTCCACACAGGATAAGGCAACAGCTAAGCAAGAAGATGTTCTTGGGATCCTCGTGATGACCAGGACCCTGTGGTCATTCTTCAAACTCTCTGTAAGGGTGTAGGTGGCCCTCTTGTGTCATAACCTGAAAATAAGGTGCTCACCCTTCTTTGGTTCATAACAGGCACAGGGATGCCTGGAAAGACAGCATACAGA